AGGCTGCATTTCCGATTCATGATAAAATCTGGAACAATCTTCCTGAAAATGTGAGACAGGCCTCCTCTCTGACAATGTTTAAATCCAGGTTAAAAACAGTTTTGTTTAGTTGCAACAACTGAAGGATTTTATATTTTTATCTTTCTTTTTAATGCACTGTAATTATCTATGACTTTAATCTTGTTTTGTTCAGCACTTTGAATTGCCTAATATACAGTGTCTTGTATTCGGCCCCCTTGAACCTTTCAACATTTCGCCACATTTCAGGCTTCAAACATAAAGATATAAAATTTTCATTTTTTGTCATGAATCAACAACAAGTGGGACACAATCGTGAAGTCGAACGAAATGTATTGGATAATTTAAACTTTTTTAACAAATAAAAAACTGAAAAGTGGGGCGTGCAATATTATTCGGCCCCTTTACTTTCAGTGCAGCAAACTCAGTCCAGAAGTTCAGTGAGGATCTTTGAATGATCCAATGTTGTCCTAAATGACTGATGATGATAAATAGAATGCACCTGTGTGTAATCAAGTCTCCGTATAAATGCACCTGCTCTTTAATAGTCTCAGGGTTCTGTTTAAAGCGCAGAGAGAACCATGAAGACAAAGGAACACACCAGGCAGGTCCGAGATACTGTTGTGGAGAAGTTTAAAGCCGGATTTAGATACAAAAAGATTTTAAGCTTTAAACATCTCAAGGAGCACTGTGCAAGCAATTATATTGAAATGGAAGGAGTATCAGACCACTGCAAAACTACCAAGACCCGGCCGTCCCTCCAAACTTTCATCTCAAACAAGGAGAAGACTGATCAGAGATGCAGCCAAGAGGCCCATGATCGCTCTGGATGAACTGCAGATAACTACAGCTGAGGTGGGGATGGTGTGTTCAGGGTGATGACCTGTGTTGCTTTTACGCCAAACAGTTTTGCATTGTGGCCAAAAGTTTGATTTTGGTTTCATCTGACCAGAGCACCTTCTTCCACATGTTTGGTGTGTCTCCCAGGTGGCTTGTGGCAAACTTTAAAAGAGACTTTTTATGGATATCTTTGAGAAATGGCTTTCTTCTTGCCACTCTTCCATAAAGGCCAGATTTGTGCAGTGCACGACTGATTGTGTTCCTATGGACAGACTCTCCCACCTCAGCTGTAGTTATCTGCAGTTCATCCAGAGTGATCATGGGCCTCTTGGCTGCATCTCTGATCAGTCTTCTCCTTGTTTGAGATGAAAGTTTGGAGGGACGGCCGGGTCTTGGTAGTTTTGCAGTGGTCTGATACTCCTTCCATTTCAATATAATTGCTGGCACAGTGCTCCTTGAGATGTTTAAAGCTTGGGAAATCTGTTTGTATCCAAATCCGGCTTTAAACTTCTCCACAACAGTATCTCGGACCTGCCTGGTGTGTTCCTTTGTCTTCATGGTTCTCTCTGCGCTTTAAACAGAACCCTGAGACTATCAAAGAGCAGGTGCATTTATACGGAGACTTGATTACACACAGGTGCATTCTATTTATCATCATCAGTCATTTAGGACAACATTGGATCATTCAAAGATCCTCACTGAACTTCTGGAGTGAGTTTGCTGCACTGAAAGTAGTAAGTAAGTAAGTAATTTTTATTTATATACCGCCTTTTCACTGCACATCGGAGTCTCAAAGCGGTTTACAATTGTGATTTTTGGGAGTGGGGCTAGTACAGGAGGCACATGCCAGACCTATTGTACATATTTTTAGTGGTAGGGGAAACCGGAGCACCCGGAGGAAACCTACGCAGACACGGGGAGAACATGCAAACTCCACTCAGAAAGGCCCTGGTCCAACCGGGATTTGAACCCAGGACCTTCTTGCTGAGAGGCGAGAGTGCTATCCACTCAGCCACCGTGCCGCCCGCTTTTACGGGCGGCACGGTGTAAAGGGGCCGAATAATATTGCACGCCCAACTTTTCAGTTTTTTATTTGTTAAAAAAGTTTAAATTATCCAATAAATTTTGTTGCACTTCACGATTGTGTCCTACTTGTTGTTGATTCATGACAAAAAATTAAAATTTTATATCTTTGTTTGAAGCCTGAATTGTGGCGAAATGTTGAAAGGTTGAAGGTTGATACTTTCGCAAGGCACTGTATGTATTGTGCTATATAAATAAACTAGCCTTGCTGTGCCTATAGGTGTGGAGAAAAGAACCACACCTTGATACGAATTCCTGTATTATTTAGAATTCAGAATTAAATGTCCATAAATTCCATTACTTTGAGGAAATAAACTGCCCAGTAACTTTCTGCGCAGCATCCTTTAAAAAGTAGAAACATTCAGACAAGAGGCCTCTTCAACTGCAGAACAAGCTTCACAAATGAAAGGAGTGTGCAATGTCAAACAGAGACTGGAAATGGACCCACAGCACTGCTGCCAGTAATTCAGTGGAATCAGCTGATCTGTGCCGGCTGCATGTGGTGAGGCCTGAGGCTGTGATCAGCTGTGACTGTGTCCGGGAAAATAAACACAAGTGTGTTACAGGTACAGGATTTTTTTTAACGTGTGTGTTAACAATGTGTAATGTGTATGTGAGTGCATGTGAGTGTGAGTGTGAGTCTATGTGTGTGCGTGCTTGAGTGTGAGTGTATGTGTGTGCGTGCGTGTGTGAGTGTGAGTGTATGTGTGTGCGTGCGTGTGTGCGTGCGAGTGCGAGTGTACTGTATGTGAGTGCATGTGCGTGCGTGTGTGTGTATGTTTTTGAGTGTGTGTGTGTATGTATGTCCGTGTGCGTATACTAGAGTGTGTGTGTGTGTGTGTGTGTGCATGTACATGTGTGTGTGTGTGTATGTGCGTACTTGTGCGTGTGCGTTTGTGCGCGTGTGCGTGTAGCCGTTCCCAGTTGGAGGCAGAGTCACGGTCTCTAACCACTGAAGGATGTGGACAGAAAGAATCATCATGTTTAACTTTTATTTTTTCACTTCTTCCGTCACTTTCCTAAACATAGTATTATTTCCTGGAAAACACACAAAGGTGACGAAGCCAAACCACTTATATCTCATTCATAAGATAATCAGAGCAAACAGGGATTTTTAACAAGCCCGAACTTTGACCCTGTGTCTTGCTGGTTGTGAGGCCCACCTGGTACATTTTGACTGACATGAATACTATTATAACGTCATAATTACATGGAGGAGGTTATACGTACTTAACCTTTATATAATCAGCGTTGGGGAGTAACTGAATACATGTATCGCCATTATGTTACTTTCTGAGTAACTGTATTCCACTACAGTTACTACTCTAAAGTCCAGTATTTAAATTACAGTTAATTTCTGAAAATCACAAAATACATACTTTCTCACATTACGTTTTAAGGTTAAAAACAAAGATAAGAAAACATTGCGTTCTGTTACATTGAAGATTCTATTTTTTGTGATTGTTAAACGAAGCTGTTGAAGCTATGACTTGTTTAACAAAAATAAACTACAAATCATTGAAAAATTACAGAAAATGTTTTATTTATTGTGGTTTTAAATGTTTTGAATTTACTTTTAGAAGTTTTGTAAATGAATATTAATTCAAAATAAAAATAAACAATACAAACATAATAAATAAAAGTATTCTAAGTATTTGGAGTACAGGTACTATATTTTCCAAAGTAACAGAATACTATACCAAATACATTTTAGCTCATGTATTCAGTATTCTGGAATGGAATACATTTTCAAAGTACTCTACCCAACACTGTATATAAAACTACTTCAAGGTTATTTTTGCACAAATGTGCTCACTGTGTCCAGTCTGACTCAGGTCTGGCTGTAATGCCGAAAAGGCTGTGTCAGATCCACAGAGACGTCCCGGAGGAGGCAGGACAGATCTCCAGGGATCACTGCTGAGCTCCAGGACAAAGGGGACATTGTAGCACAGTCAGGCCCATCCAAAAACAAGACTTCTCGTCTCATCAGCTCTAACTTCCTCCAGACTCACTCACAGCTCAATTCAACATTTCAAGATCACCAAAGCTTTTAAGTTTACAGTTTACCCTCCTGATGAAGTGTTGCTGTAAGAGTAAAATGTTCCAATCATGTTAGCCTGGTCTTACCACACCATTACTAATTTCATCTCATACTAATTTCATCTCATACTAAGGTCTGGATTTGCTCCATTGACTTTGTTAACAGATGGGAGGGGTTAACACCTTTTGCAGATTGAAACGATTGGATCTGAGTTTACCGTGACGTATGTAATGTGTAATGTGTGAGTGAGGCATTTAGCATTTAGCCTAGCTTTAGCCATCTCCTTTGCCACTCACGGAGCCTGTGGGGAGTAGAGCCACAACATCTTTGCAGCAATGACATTGTCTAAACATTCCTCTTGCTCCCGCTTAAATTTCTTGATATTTGGAGCCGAACCAGAACATAGTACTTTACTATTGCTTTCGCCACCAAACTACAACCAGACAATTAGCACAAACTCTTGACGTCACCGACAACGACCTACAACACCCGCCTCCCCCGCTCTCTGATTGGTCGGAAGGGATTGAACCGAGGAAACTGCAGCCACTAGGATCAGACCCAGACATACATGTAGGAAATGATCATGGACCAGAGTTTACAGACGGCTAAAGACCAGGCTAAACCATGTAAAAGCATCAAGGAAATTGTGAATGTACATGAAAACATCCTTTTTATTATGAGTCATCACACCACTTAACAAGTTATTGAGCACAAATTAACAATAATAAAGAATAGTGTTTGTTTGACCAATAAAATAATAGTATGAGCCCAGCTTTGAACTTCCAGCAGAAAATAGCATCTTATTTGACAATTTATTTTCTACCGCACCCATAGCCTAATTTCACAGCACATCTCATCCTTGTTTGTCTGTGTAAATATTACCATCAAAGAAGGAACGCAAACAGCACAATGCAACTATGATAGACAGTTTTACTCCCCGAACGGTCCTTTCAAAATATCAAACGTGAAAACTCAACATTAGATCAGTATGACCATCTGCCCAGCTGAGGAGACTTACCTTTACGTGGCTTTGTGCTCCCAGGTTGTAGACTTCTGTGGGCTTCACCTGGTTGATAATCTTCACCAGGCACGTGCTGTCCGTAAGGTCACCATAGTGCAGTTTCATGTCTAAATAAATAAGGTTATTATTATCCCCCTTTCAGAAAATACCAGCAACTAAACATTAGGATACTTACTGCCTTCTGTGTGTGTCTGTGGGTTCTGGTAAAGGTGCTCGATGCGGCCAGTGTTGAAGGAGCTGGAGCGGCGAATGATGCCATGAACCTGATCATCCAGAAACAGACAGTGTATGATTTTAGTACTAAAAAAGTGTCCTTGTTATGTTGTTTTACAAGACCTCCAGGTAAAGCTGAGCAAATAATTATTCAGTGTGACATCCTTGACTCGCTACAGTGATTTAAAAATACCTGAATCGTTTTTTTCAGGCAGAATGTTGATTACTTTGTTTAGCTTAACCAGCCCGGGGGCATTTTTAGACCCATTCTTAGACCCTTTAAGACCCCAATTTCTTCTTGTAGAGTTTTCTTCATCTTTTGATCATCTGTGGCGAGTCATTTTGACCAAAGGGTAGCCAAGGGTTAAACAAGTATATGAATTGAATGCTTCTTTGAGATCTACTTTTGACTCAAACGCATCGAATGTTTTTTCATCATCAAAGAGGTGTAACAAAGTGCTTTAGAGTTGGTTAAAAATAATCCCATATGGACAATGATCTGTCAAACCAACCACCCAACACACACCTAACTCAAACAACCCACAGACACAAAGAATATACATATCACTCACACACACCGGGACATAATTGGAAAAGTTTTTTGTTTTTTTACATTTATTTATTTATTTGAGAAAGGAGGGACAATACATATTAATGAACATTTTCACAAATGTAAATATCAGGCTAATTTCCATCTGCAGACCCCCAGCAGGTTGGTGTTACAAACAAGTTAGTAAAAACATACAGAGACACTATTTATATACAGAGGGACAGGAGCAGTTATTGCGTAATGTTAGAACAAGCAGCAAGCATGCTGCTTGTGGACAGCAAAGCACAATTTAGAAAACAATATCAGAAACACATAATCTGTATTGCACAAACGGCGGCACGGTGGCTGAGTGGATAGCACTCTAGCCTCTCAGCAAGAAGGTCCTCGGTTCAAATCCCGGCCGGACCAGGGCCTTTCTGAGTGGAGTTTGCATGTTCTCCCCGTGTCTGCGTAGGTTTCCTCCGGGTACTCCGGTTTCCCCTACCACTAAAAATATGTCCAATAGTTCTGGCATGTGCCTCCTGTACTGGCCCCGCTCCCATCTCTGTGTGGAGTGAGAGACAAATGCCCAAAATTAACAATTGTAAACCGCTTTGAGACTCAGATCTGCAGTGAAAAGGCGGTATATAAATAAAAACTTACTTACTTACTTACTTACAAACCCGAGTATTGCACATGCCCTGACTTTCCTATTATTACAATGACCCGCATTACACCACTCTATATTGCACTGACCCACATTACACTGACCCGTATTGGACCACTCTATATTGCAATGACCCGCATTACACCACTCTATATTGCACTGACCCACATTACACTGACCCGTATTGGACCACTCTTTATTGCACTGACCCACATTACACTGACCCGTATTGGACCACTCTTTATTGCACTGACCCACATTATACTGACCTGTATTGCACAGCCCACATTTCAATGATAATCGTTTGCCTTTTTTGCAATGCACCAGCTCCGTTCCACGTCTGTTTTATAATCATGATTATCTAAACATGATCACATGTTTGTGTGTCCCTCAGCCACATTTTTTAATGATTCCTCAAGGTAGACAGACTGGTGCTTTCCCTCACTGACACCGGAATACTATTCCAGAAGCTCACTCCCTGATATGACAGGACGTTTTGTGAGAAAGCGGTCCGCCTAAATGCCAGTTCACAGTTGCCTCTCGCAGTGGTTCGAGTCACTCAAGACCTGGCAGCACTACTAGACTTTTGTTTAATAAAATCGCTCATTGGTGGAGGCGCTAGACCCTGTATAACCTTGTAGATTAGGGAGGCTGATTTAAACAATTTGAAATTATCAAAATTTAATAATGTAATTTGTCTAAGATTTGACAATGGTGGTACGACAAAGGCTTCTTGTCCAATATTTTCAAAGCTCTTTTGTAGCATACTGTAGCTGTAGCATACTGTAGCTGTGTAACCAGCTGAAGAAGGCCCATTCGAGGGGTCTTCTGCACCAGGAGCCCGACCCCAGAAGGACCCAGAGCCAGATGCAGCTAAATCAAATAGGAAATATATCCAAAAGGTCCTCTATCATTTTCATTGAACTTTGACGAGAAGTAAAAGGAGGTTTTGTTAATGCCACTAGGATCGATAGAAAAGACAGATAGTCAAAGAGGTGTCTTTATGAAAGCAGAAGCAGCCAAGATGACCTAAACAAGGTCCTTAAGTGGGAGGACTCTGGGGCTGAGTTCAGATATTTTGTTGTGAAATTAAACGGTGATGTGAAAGTTAATGTGATTGTCTGGAGTTTGTCAGAAAGAGAGACGGAGAGGTACTTGATTTGAAAAAAACGACGCAAGCTCCCTCCCCCTTCCTTTCTGATTGGTCTACACCTACGTTTCCGTAACACTTTGAAATGTTAATCAGAGAACACATACATATACATTATTAATACACATGCACGGAAGTTTTCAGAATTATTTGTTAACATTTTCATGAAAAAAATTATGTTTTAATGCACAAAAAAACGATCGCGGCAAACCCGGAAAAAGCTATTATCATGAATTGCACATTATAGGACACATCTGCAGAGGATCTGATTATGGATATAGGTTCAGTATATAAATAGGTAACTCAGCGCGGATATTCAGAATTCTTTGTTCAGTTTTCATGTAGTTCCAGAGCCTATAAGGCTTGATTCGGAGGCTCTGCGAAAACAAACAACTGAGCATGCGGGCAGCTACGTGCATCAGCGCTGGTGATTGACAGCCCTTGGCATGACTCGATTGGTTAACGTGGACGGCATCGTGGATTCTGAACTATAGCTAAGAGAAGGGAAGGCGGGCCAGTAATATTAGAATTAATAAAATGACTTATTTTATATCAGTATTTAAGGCCAGGAGGTCAATTTTACACATTTTCTAAAATTTGTAATTCATTTAGAGTTACAGACTATCACTTTAAGTGCTGCTGCCTATACTGTACGTCAACAATGTGCGTAGCAGGTGAAAATACTGACCTCCTGCATGCTAGCATATAATAACAGCCACTTCCCTGATGTAAAAGGTGGTATTTTAATGAGCTTACACACAGGTTGAGTCAATACATGAAGTGTTCTGGTCCTTTGAAACTAGAACTGACCATAAGGCGGACTTAGAAATGTGTAGAGAAGCCTGACTTTGTTTATTTTCTGTAAATGAGTGAGGTCATAGCAAGGGTTTGGAATGGGTATTGAAAGTTCAGGAAATGTTCAAAGAATTAAGATATAGTTTGTAATATTAATATGGCCATAAACTGAATGCATTGACTTTTGGACTTAATTTGTATCTGTCTTCTATAAAGAATTCAAACGACAATCTGTGTGAAAAAATCTGGATCGACACATTCTCTGGGCATTGGCCAATTGAGAAAAAATGTATGGTCAATATATGATTGTGGGTGTAGAAAGAATATACTGTAGCTGTCATGTATTAAAACAACTAGGAGTGGTACAGCACCACGGGTTTGAATTATGCTGATGATTCAAAAATATATATATAATGTGAACAAAAATCTAAATATTTTTTACAAACTACACGTTATCATAATGTAACCACTATGAATGTTTTCAATGCATCTACTGTTCTACTGAGTCTATTATCTCATAATTTTTACATAATTATAATTATTATTTGTTACATTTACAGCGTTAGTGAGAGGTATGGCCTTGTCATGGTTAAACTTTTTATTTCAAAACATGTTTACATGATAATGACATCACATTACACGTCACAATAATGGTCTCCATTTTTTCAACCAACCTCTCTGCTCTTATTGGAGGAGCACATATCACCAGAATGATTGACAATTAGGAGGACCAATAGTCTTGATGATCCACCCAGAAATAGAAAATCCTATATATCTTTAATGTTCCTGTGATTATTTTTTTACAGCCAACAAAAGGTTTTTTTTCCATGCCATAGACTCACCTCATAGCCTTTATGTAGGAGGAACTCTGCCAGATATGATCCATCCTGAAAAGAAAAAAATAATACAATTTAATACACACATGAATAAATATGTCTATGTCACTTTTCTGCACCACCTGCTTTTCCATTCTGTGGGGATGTTATTGCAAATATCTTTATATAGAAAGTTGTGTATATTAGTCTGGCCTCTACAAAACTGCCAAATACATGTCTGTTCTCGCTCCCTTTGAGATAGGGTGAGGAGCTCATTCATACGGGAGGAGCTCGGAGTAGAGCCGCTGGTTCTCCTTGTCCAGAGGAACCAGTTGAGGTAGCTCAGGCATCTGTTCCGGGTGGCTGGACACGGCAACGGATGAAGTGGAAGAAAATGGAGGAATTGACATGTCTGTTCTCACCCTCACTCTCTAAATAAATACACTACTACTGTATGCTATTAATATATTGTACATTATTGAAAAAAACAAACAAACAAGCATTAAGAAAAAAAAAAATACAGTATATATGCATAACGTCATTAGTCCTGTCACTGCAGCTGTGGGGGAGGCTGCTGCAGCAATGGCTGGAAAGAAAAACAGGACAAATTTGCCTTTTTGACACTTGAATGACCACAGGAAATCAAAACTAACCTTGGGGTGTTTAAAGGTGTTGGAAAACTTTCTCTCTCCTCAAACGTTTCTACATCCCTTCTGCTCCACTCTCATGAATCAGGGCCTGGACAGCTCTGAGGTGGAAGCCCTGTCAATAAGGTCTTGTTCTCTTTGCCCATTTAACTCCTCATTTTCCGACCGCTCACTTTCCAACACTGCGGATCATTTTGAACCTGTCATTTATCTCCTTTTCACTGTACAGTAGATAAGTCTGTCCCAGATACAGGAGTGTCCTTGTCTGGCATCACTTATTTTGGTATTATTACTATTACTATTACTGGTATTACTTAGGCTACATGAACAAACACACGTTTATTTGTATGCCTGCCTACTGCAGAATGTATGAATAATAAGTCATAGTTTGCTCAAATATGGCAAAATGTATCTTAATTTGAGCACATTCAGACTGCCTTAAAACAAGATTTGCAAAATTATCTTGATACAAGGAATGTCTGCTTTGGAATGAGAAAATAAACAGTTCTTGAAATAATGGCTTTGACTCATTGACAAATCTTGGCAAATCATACTCAAAATAAGATTTAAAAAAAAAAAGTGTCATTATGGACAGTCATTGTGGACAAACTCCCCGGGACGAGCCGTTTGGAGACCACATGATTTCATATTCCTCTGCCCCGGAGGTAGAGGCTGAGGATGTTGGGGCGGATACTTCCATCTCCCTGGCAGAGGTCACCAAGGTGGTTGGCAGCCTCCTTGGTGGCAAGGCACCAAGTCTCTGGATGTTGTGGGACTGTCTTGGCTGGCACGTCTCTGCAACATCGCGTGGCAATCGGGGGCGGTGCCAATGGAGTGGCAGACCGGGGTGGTGGTCCCTCTCTACAAGAATGGGGACCAAAGGGTGTGTTGGTCGAATCTCGGATTCAGGAGGAACAGTGTGGTTTTCGTCCCGGCCATGGAACACTGGACCATGGCCAGTGTTCCATGGCCAGTGGCCAGTGGTATACTCTCCATCGGATACTCGAGGGTTCATGGCAGTTTGCCCAACCTGTCCACATGTGCTTTGTGGATTTGGAGTAGGCGTTCGACCGTGTTCCCCGGGGTGTCCTTTGGGAGGTCCTCCGGGAGTATGGAGTCCGGGGTCCTCTGCTGAGGGCCGTTCGGTCCCTGTATGACCGGAGTCAGAGCTGCGTTCGCATTGCCGACAGTAAGTCAGACCTGTTCCCGGTGCATGTTGGCCTCCGCCAAGGCTGCCCTTTGTCACCGGTTCTGTTCACTGTATTCTAGGCGCAGCCAGGGGCCGTAGCGGGTCCGGTTCGGCGACCACAGGATTTCATCTCTGCTATTTGCGGACGATGTTGTCCTGAGCCAGGACCTGCAGCATGCACTGGGACGGTTTGCAGCCGAGTGTGAAGCGGCTGGGATGAGGATCAGCACTGCTGCCCCCGCGACCCAGCAACGGATGAAGCGGAAGAAAATGGATGGATGGATAGATGGAAGATTTAAAATGTTCTGTTGGCAGACGATGTTGTCCAGTTCGCTTCGACAAACAAGGATCTTCGCCACGCACTGGGACGGTTTGAGGACAGTGGGAAATGTCTGGGATGAAAATCAGCTCTCAAAACTGGAAAAAGGTGTCTTCCCCTCTCCAAGTGGATGGAGACGTCCTTCCTCAAGTGGAGGAGTTTGAGTATCTCAAGGTCTTGTTCACGAGTGTGGAAAGGATGGAGCGAAATAATTACAGACGGATCGGTGCAGCGTGTGCAGTCATGTGGTCGCTGTATTGGATTATTGTGGTGAAGAGGGAGCAGAGGTAAAAGAAATCCACTGCTCCTACACATTTGGGTGTCTCTGTTCATATAAAGTGCATTGCAAAAGTATTCACCCCCTTGGCTTTTTATCTATTTTATTACATTACAGCCATCAATGTTTTTTTTATCTAAATTTCATGTGATGGATCAGAAAACAATAGTCTAAGTTGGTGAAGTGAATTGAGAAAAATATATATATAAAACTTTTTCAGAAATAAAAAAACTGGAAATTGGCATGTGCATATGTAATGAAGCCCATAAAAACTCTGGTGCAACCAATTACCTTCAGAAGTCACATAATTAGTGAAATGATGTCTACCTGTGTGCAATCAAGTGTCACATGATCTGTCAGTACATACACCTTTTTTGAAAGGCCTCAGAGGCTGCAACACCTAAGCAAGAGGCACCACTAACCAAACACTGCCATGAAGATCATGGAACTCTCCAAACAAGGAAGGGACAGTGTTGTTGAGAAGTACAAGTGAGGGGTAGGTTATAAAAAAATATCCAAATCTTTGATGATGCCCAGGGGCACCATCAAATCTATCATAACCAAATGGAACATGGCACAACAGCAAACCTGCCAAGAGACGGCCACCCACCAAAACTCACGGACCGGGCATCAGAGAGGCAGCACAGAGACCTAAGGTAACCCTGGAGGAGCTAGAGAGTTCCACAGCAGAGACTGGAGTATAGTACATAGGACGACAATAACCCGTACGCTCCATAGAGTTGGGCTTTATGGCAGAGTGGCCAGAAGAAAGTCATTACTTTCAGCAAAAAACAAAATGGCACGTTTTGAGTTTGCGAAAAGGCATGTGGGAGACTCCCAAAATGTATGGAGGCAGGTGCTCTGGTCTGATGAGACTAAAATTGAACTTTTTGGCCATCAAGGAAAACGTTATGTCTGGCGCAAACCCAACACATCACATCACCCAAAGAACATCATCCCCACAGTTAAACATGGTGGTGGCAGCATCATGCTGTGGGGATGTTTTTCAGCAGCCGGGACTGGGAAACTGGTCAGAGTTGAGGGAAAGATTGAGTGCTAAATACAGGAATATTCTTGAGCAAAACCTGTACCACTCTGTGCGTGATTTGAGGCTAGGACGGAGGTTCACCTTCCAGCAGGACAATGACCCCAAACACACTGCTAAAGCAACACTTCAGTGGTTTAAGGGGAAACGTATAAATGTGTTGGAATGGCATAGTCAAAGCCTAGACCTCAATCTAATAGAAAATCTGTGGTCAGACTTCAAGATTGCTGTTCACAAGCACAAACCATCCAACTTGAAGGAGCGGGAGCAGTTTTGCAAGGAGGAATGGGCAAACATCCCAGTGGTAAGATGTGGCAAGCTCATAGAGACTTATCCAAAGCAACTTGGAGCTGTGATTGCCGCAAAAGGTGGCTCTACAAAGTATTGACTTTAGGGGGGTGAATAGTTATGCACTTTGACCTTTTCTGTTATTTTGTCCTATTTGTTGTTTGCTTCACAATGAAAAGAAGACAACATCTTCAAAGTTGTGGGCATGTTCTGTAAATTAACTGATGCAAATCCTCAAACAATCCAGGATTGTTGATTCCAGGTTGGGAGGCAACAAAACACACAAAATGCCAAGGTACTGTAGCCTGGCCTTAATCATCAGTAAACTCCGGTCAATAATCATTTCCTACATGTACGTCTGGGTCTGATCCTAGTAGCTGCAGTGACGTCAAGAGTGTGTGCCAAATTTGCTGGTTGTAGTTTGGCGGGGAAACCAATAGTAACGTAATCTGTTCTGGTTCGGCTCCAAATATCAAGAAATTGAAGCCGGAGCAAGATGAATGTTTAACAAATGTCATTGCTGCATGTTGTGGCTCTACTCCCCACGGGCTCCGTTAGTGGCAAAGGAGATGGCTAAAGCTAGGCTAAATGCTAAAAGCCTCACTCACTCGGGGGCATTACATACGTGACGGTAAAATCAGATCCAATCGTTTCAATCTGCAAAAGGAGTCAACCCCTCCCACCTGTTAACGGAGTCAATGGAGCAAATCCAGACCTTAGTACGTATGAAATGAGTACAATGGTATGGTAAGACCAGCCTACTGCTCATACTGATGCCTAGATGTCCCAGCAATGAATAAAGGGGAAGAAAGAGGATGGATAAGTGCTCTTCCTCATGATTGTTCCAGAATGACAGCCCCTCACTCATCTCCACAGCGTTCAAAGTGCTGGCCGGCTCCTGTCATGTTTTCCTGCCCCAGTGCCAGGGTCAAAGCGTTCCACTCCAGACCAATATGGAAAACAAGCCTGAAGAGCTGCAGTTCTGTTCCCAAACAAGAGGCTCCTTTGAGGCCATATTAGCCCATAAACCCAGTCCTCACCTCACGGTTTCCTGTTATGGGGCGGGTGGCTGCTTGGTGTGGACAGGGCCCGACACACAAACACATCACACCGTCTATGGTCAGCTGACAGCTCAAGTATCCTGGTGACATTAGAGCTAGCTATTATTTGTAGATCTGGGGAATTCATCGTATGAATAGGTTTTTTTTGAATAGTTAGTTGTGTATGTTTTATTTTATATAAAAAAATATATATAAGAAAGTAAGTAAACAAAATGTATTTGTAACCCTTTCACAGACCAGGATCAC